TATATGCTTAATTTTTTTAATAGAGATTCCTATTTTGCAATAAAGTCAAAAACTTGATCCAAAACAAAAACTGGGTGATTTTTTTTACTAAGAAGTAAATAAGAATATAATTATAATATTTAAATATGAGATACTACACAAATCTATGTATCGTTATCAAGTAATAAAATACTTTTTGATTAAGCCTTGAATATCAAACCACAAAAAAACTAACAATATCCATTTTATAAAACTAGAAAATTTAGATAACAAAAATCTACTTAGCAAAATATTCTTATTTAAACTTAAGATACTATAATAAGAATGAAAATTCAATTCTTTTTGTAATTTTTATTTATAAAAATAAAGTAAGCAACTAATTAACTTAACTAAATATTTGCAAGATGAATGAAATATAAGTAAAATATCTTTTTCCTTATCATGAATCAGTAATAAGTATAGAAATTTTGTTGTGGAAGTATGCTAAATGTGTTGTGTCAAATAGGAGCAATAATATTCTTTCCTTACTAGAGATGTTTTAGAGATGCTATAAAGAACATTGGCTAATCTATAGTTTTAATAGTCTTGAAGATCGATTTCTGAAGACTTTCTAGGCACGGAATATACTAGCTCTCACTCTAGAGTTCCCTCTTCTCCTTCCACTTGAGGGCTAACTTCTCGTATCAAAACCTAAAGTTATAAATCAAATTGAGTGCTTTAGCCTGTCACTCTAAAGTCATCTAATTATACACCATTGAAAAATTTATTTCTCTATTTATTTGCACTCAATCCCATGAACTACATTCTCATTCATGAAATCAATATGTGATTCTAACTTTTTTTTTATTGAGACAATACCATCTCAGATCTTACATGTTCTCACAACAGGTATTAACATCTTAATTGGACCATCTCAGATCTTACATGTTCTCGCAACAGGTATTAACATCTTAATTGGCCAAATCAATAAGAAAATGAAGTACAAAGTTTCAAATCATCATAAATTCCTTCAACATGGAAGTTTAATACTTCACACAACTTTCTTTAAATACTTAATCACTTATCATTTTAAGAGAAAAGATAAAGAAAACACAACTGCACATGAGTTTAAAAGTAGAAATCATGCACACAAACAAGATGCACAAAGTAGAAATCATGCACACAAACAAGAAATCTAAATTAAAACAAAATGTAGTCACAAAGATAAACACTTAAATCTTCTCCATCAAATGTCTTGAAGATCCTTTAATTTCTCTTCCTTCACTCACAATACAAACTAACGCTCACATAAAAAGTGGCCGGCGGCGGCGGTTACTAAGATGAATGGTGGTTGTCGGATGTATAACGGTTATCCTTTTTTATTTGATGATCCAAGTCTTTTTTTTATGAAAATCCAAAATGTGCCCTTAAAAATCTAAGGGGTTCCTTTGTGTCTCTTCAAAACGTGTCTCCATTCAATGAATCTTCTAGAAGTTCATTCTTTCAAAAGCCAATTGAATGAATTTTCATGTCCTTGGACTATTTCCCACGTTTTTACCAATGGTTGCTTCAAACACCTCTTAAAAAATTCATTCAAATTCAATAAATCATTAAATACCTACTTCTGACGCTTAAGCGCGGGGTACCTGGCGCTTAGGCCCGACTTTCTCTGAATAATTGGCGCTTAGGCGCCAGTCATGGGCGCTTATGCATCTCAGTTCATTTTTTCTCCAAATTTGACCATTTTTTTCACTTCTTTTAGCATTTTTCATCCATTTAATTGTACCTAAAAGAGAAATAAACAAATACCTTTTATTAAAGCACAATATCACAAAAATAGGTATAAAATTTATATAAAAATACTATGTATTTTAGGTGTATCAAAATTCCCCAAACTTAAAATGTTACTTGTCCTCAAGTGACCCTTCAATCTTTAGAAACTAAATAAGTAGATGATGTATATGACTTTCTTTAGGAGTTACTAAAATTTTGATGTAGAAATATAGTAGTCCAATTTAGAAAAAAATATTAGTAAATAAATCCAACTTAGAGTTTAGAAATTTTTATGTTAAGAAATATGAAAATATGAGTTTTTATCTAATTTAGAAATATTGTAGATTCTCTAAATATAGAGTTTAAACATTTTATAATCTCCACTTAAAAGTTTTTATTAAGCATAATTTTACTTACTATATTATATCTTTAAGCTTAAGAGTTCCTCAAGTCTTATACTTTAGAAAGATCAGATATGGAATCAATTTTTGTTTAGGCACTAATCCTCAAGCTTCTCCTCCCTTTTCCAATTTTTTTTTCTTTTTCACTTATTTTTCTCTTTCTTTTTCTTTTTCTTTTTCTTTTTCTTTTTTATTTTTCTACTTTTCAGGCAATGTTTATTATATCTGGATAAGTTTTTAATGATTTTGAATTCCACTCTTCCTTTCCTAAACCAAAAAGTTGATATATTTCACTTACTTAAAAAACATAATAATTAGTTTTTGAAAAATACTTTCAATAAAAGAAATTTAAGTTTTGAAAATAAAAGTCTAAATCTTCTAAATTTTTCAAAAATACAAATTTTCCTACTAAAGATAGTTACACTATACTTAGCATTTTCCACAGTAAAAATTTTTAACTTTATGTTTTTCTTCATTACTATAAATTTTAACTAAATTCTCTTACTCATTTCTATATTCAAAATATTACTTCTCTAATATAACTTCATATACATGATCATTTTTATTTAAATCAAAATAAAATTTATTTGAAATACATGTGAGAACAAATAAATTTCTAGTTTTTAGAAAAATTTTCATCCCCCCCCCACTTGAATTTTTAATAGAATAAAAAATAGAATAAAACATTTTAGCATCTCATATAAATATTGGTAGGAATGAAAACTAAAAATAACAAGCTAGCAAGAATTTTTACATCTTAATTATGTAAGTACAAAACTTAAAAACAAGAGTAAAAATTAAATTGATCAAATTTTAATTTACTTGACATATACAGATTCATTAGACTTCTATGCAGTGAAGTATAACATAAAAACAAACAAATAAATTAACAAACATACATGACTACAACATAAAAAAATATATGGTAGTAATTTGAAAATTTTAAACATGCAGCTTTTAAGTAAAAAAAAATTAGCTATATTCTAAACCTTTCTAAGATCTAAAATTAAGTTCAACACAAACTAACTAACTACAATAAGTAACACAATTAACATAATTACTACCACACATACATAATAACTACTCATAAAAACACAAATACATCACAGTAATGTCTACTTAACAGATCACAACAAAAACTAACAGTCTTAAAAATAACAACTGAAAACATAACAAAAAATACATAATTACTGCACCATCCACAGTTCACAACAACAAACAAACTAAAAATCAAACAAAACTATAGATCCAAGCTAATCATCCTAATCCTCTGCATCACTCTCATCACTATGCCAAGGAGTTGCAGGCTCATATGGTGGATATCTTGGATATTGAGGACATACCACATCTTGATTACCTCTCATGAGGTTTTCCATTGCTAAGTTGTATTCTCCCTCATAATCACCATGCCTTTTCATGTATCCATCCATATGCTCTACAAAATTTTCTAAATTCAATACCTTATTCGCAGTGTAGTTAATGTTATCCAAAATCCTTTGCAATAGTTGTGACTGAGAAGCAGATTCAGAAGTCTGACCCTGTGATGTAGAAGCACGTGAAGTGGGAGCTCGAGATGTTGATTTGCAAAGTCTGCACTCATTCTCCATTAATTATTTGCCTTTTGCACCATCACCACATTCAAGACACAGGCCAGGTACTACACCTTAGAGATTTATCCAACTTCTTGGAGTTTCTGCACTTCCACCTAAATTGGTCTGGTCAAGGTCATTGTAGAAGACCTTATTTTCAGCTTCTTGGTCGAGTGGTAGGATCCACGTTTAGTTAATGACATGTGATATTGACCGGTATCACAACATCTCAGTGGCTTACTAAGCTAAAACATCTTGGTGTTCCTGAAGGGTTTGGATTAATAAACCCTTCGACCTTGCATTAAACTTTTTCATTTATAAAAAAAATTTTGCTTGGCTCCTCATCAACAATAGAGATTTCAAAAGTGGTCTCGCTGGTATCAAGATCCCTTCATGTTTGTTTTGTAGATCAAACATCTTCTATTCCATGTTTCAGACCTTCAGGAGGTTGCATGTCCGAGACTGCTCTTGGTTCTCTAGAGCGATGATGATTTCCTCATCATCGCAAAACTTTTTCGCTACGTGGTATGTTGAGACCATAATTTTGAAGTCATCGTGTAGAAGCCGACTGAAAATGACGTTGTAAGTCGACGGCGAGCCAACCATCATGAAGTCTTATATGCAGGTAAATTGCTTGTCACATTCTCCTCAGGTGGCCGTCAATATAATTATTCCCAAGACTTCCATCCTCTCACCTTAAAAGTCGTAAAAACGATCCGACCGACATATTGTCAACCACTGACTTGAATAAATATTATTATTTTTCCTATGAAAAGTTACATACCTGCCACATATTTTTTATGTTTTATATATCATACTCTAAAAATCTGATATTCATATTTATAATATTTTGATATCATGCATCAATAGATGTATTCACTTAAAATAATGATAATATTTTTGAAGAGATATAAAAAATTTTTATGCTAGGAAAATATATAAAAATTTAAACACTAGATATATAAATACATAAAATTAGGTGGCACTGATAAGAGCATAAATGCCCTCTTATTTATATAGAATTATAGATCACAATAAAACACTCCAAATGCTAATTAAATTATGGATGATACATAAAAAAATTAAAAATTTTTGTATTAATTTAATTGCATTAAAAACAAAAACAGCTTCAAATGAAACTTCACCAAAGAAATAAATGAGCTCTGAAACGCGTGGGCCGCTGAACTGTCACCACTGCGGCCAGAACGTGCTACTTCTCTTGGCTTGCGTTACAATCCCTATTTTTCACCATTTTTTTTCTGACTTACTGTTTCATAACTTCCTTTTCCTTTTGCTTGCACTATCCTCCTCTTGCTTGCTTGCTAGCTTTATATTCCTCAGCATTGTTTTATCTCCTGAATTTTCATACCCCATCTGTCAAAATCCGAACTTTTTCATATATAGAAGTAATCAGTCTCTCATCGTTTTCTATGCGTTGTAAGATTGGTTTATTTGGCTAATTAGCTGTCGGCGGAAATGGTGATAAAGGGGAACGAGTGGGAGGGTAAGACGGGTACAGAGCAAAAGTAGCGCACTGTGATATCTGGAGAGGAAAGAGAGAAAAATGGTGGGGGACCGAGGAGGATTGTGCTGTTCCTTCCTGGAGATGCTTCAACTGTCGCACTAGTTTATTTTTCTGAGCTAAACCTCTCACCTTCACCGGCCTTTTAAGCACAGACCTTAGTTTTTTCTCTTTTTATTTGTATAAGTTGCTGTATTCTTGTTGAGTTTGGGCATTCATTTTACTGGAAGTTGGGATTTATATTATTTTTCTCTGTTTTAAGCTGGATGTGAGGGAAGCAAGGAATAAAACGGAGGGTGAGGGAGGGGGATAGAGAGAAAGAGAGAGAGAGAGAGAGGAGCCCAAGTGCTTCCCTCATTCACTTTCGACTTGTTTTCTGATGGTTGAACTCGATTTGATCCGCTTCCGCCATTGACACCCGAAAAGGAGCCACCTTTCTTCTTTAAATCTTCGAAGGTTGGATTTTTCCAGCTGGGTTAGATCCGGGGAGGCAAAACAATGGAGGCTAATGCCGGGCTGGTCGCTGGTTCTCACAATAGAAACGAGCTCGTCGTTATCCGTCGCGATGGAGAGCCGGGAGTAAGCATTCAATTTTCCATCTTCCACAGCTAAGCAGCTATTTTTCGCTCCCTTTTCTTACAGTAGACAAGATTTGATCTTTTCTTTGTAATTTTCTTGCAGCCAAAGCCATTGGAGCATCTCAGCGGTGAAAGATGTCATATTTGTGGCGACGACGTTGGGCTCACCTTGGATGGAGATCTCTTCGTCGCCTGCAATGAGTGTGCTTTCCCCATTTGCTGCACCTGCTATGAGTATGAACGCAGAGAAGGAAGCCAGGTCTGTCCACAATGCAAAACCAGGTTCAAGCGTCTTAAGGGTAAATGCTTTCTCTTTAGGATTTGGTACTTTTGTAGCCTTTTTGAGCTTACTAATTTTTTTTTTTTTTGTGATTAATGTGCAGGTTGTGTAGCCTTTTTGAGCTTACTAAATTTTTTTTTTTTTTGTGATTAATGTGCAGGTTGTGCTCGAGTTGCCGGAGATGAAGAAGAGGATGATGTTGATGATCTTGAGAATGAGTTCAATTTTGTTGGGAGGGAAAAGAAGGATGGGCAATACCTTGCTGAGTTCATGATGCAGGGGCATATGAGCTATGGCCGAGGATTTGTAGAAATACCTCAACCATTTCATCCCATGCCTCAAATTCCTTTACTCACCAATGGCCAAATGGTATTCAGTCTTATAATCTCTAGTTGTTTTTGCTATTATAGATAAGAAAATCATGATCGCCTTTTATCATATTAAAATCTGATCTTGCTCTTTGTTAGTTCCTAGTTATTAGTCTTATTAAGTATTAATCGTTTTTGTTTGATTGCAGGTTGATGATATCCCGCCAGAACAGCATGCTCTTGTTCCTTCTTTCATGGGAGGTGGAGGTAGGAGGATCCACCCCCTTCCATATTTCGACCCCAGTCTTCCTGGTATTTATATCTGAACTTGCATTGGATTGATGAATTTTATAAAAATTGAGTTTTTTAGAACTTCAAATTGAAGTTTTTCTTAAGAAAAAAAAGTTTTTTTTTTTTGTTTTTTTTTTGTTGATGAATTTTTGTTCAATTTTTTTTCTTTGCAGCACAGCCAAGATCCATGGATCCTTCAAAGGATCTTGCTGCATATGGTTACGGAAGCATTGCTTGGAAGGAGAGAATGAAGAATTGGAAGCAGAAACAAGACCAGTTACAGATGAGAAATCAAAACGGTGCCAAGGATTGGGATAATGATGGTGATGGGCCATTGTAAGATCACTTTTTTGTCTTCCAATAGTTCAGCCAACTTGCGCTTAAATGTTGATTTTATTAAATAACACTTATTCATGTAGAAGAATTATAGATTTACTTGGAGTTTAAATTTGGCAAAAAGTTTTCCTTTTCTTCACTTGATATAATTTCTAACTTGTCTTGAGACAGAATGGATGAAGCACGCCAGCCGCTATCGCGAAAACTTCCCATATCTTCTAGCCAAATTAATCCATATAGAATGATCATCATAATACGGCTAGTTATTGTTGGATTTTTTTTTCATTACCGGGTCACACATCCCGTGCCGGATGCCTATGCATTGTGGCTCATCTCAGTTATCTGTGAAATTTGGTTTGCTGTTTCATGGATTCTTGATCAGTTCCCAAAATGGATTCCAATTGAGAGGGAGACTTACCTTGACAGATTGTCATTAAGGTTGAGTAAAACCAGCCATCATAAAACTTTATTGCTCTTCTTCTGCACTTTTTGTAATAGCATGAACTCTCACTCATTGATTTATTGTTTGTTTTGACAAAATGGCCTTCCCCAGAGATCGCCAATCCCAAGAATGCTCTTATACGAGTAAACTTAGCTTCAGAGTTTTTGATAAACTTCAACCATTACACCAAAATTATTGTACCTTGTGGCCATTAGGCTAAAGCGGACAATATCTACATGGGTGGAGTTCGGGCTATTACACCTTAATCCTATCATCAACTGATCTATGTGGATTTATTTTATTCTATTTTCAGGTATGATAAAGAAGGTCTACCTTCTCAACTGGACCCTATTGACATATTTGTCAGTACTGTTGATCCTATGAAGGAACCTCCATTGGTCACAGCAAACACAGTCCTCTCTATCCTTGCTGTAGATTATCCAGTTGACAAAGTTTCTTGCTATGTTTCCGATGATGGTGCTGCAATGCTCACATTCGAAGCATTGTCCGAAACATCAGAATTTGCAAAAAAATGGGTTCCATTCTGCAAGAAATTCAAAATTGAGCCCAGAGCACCGGAGTGGTATTTTCAACAGAAGATGGACTATTTGAAGGATAAAGTTCTACCATCATTTGTTAAGGAGCGAAGAGCGATGAAGGTGAGAGAATATTCCTGAAAGAATTGTCCAAGTAAAAATTTGTTTTACTCTATAAGAGACATACATATGTTACTTTCTGCAGAGAGAATATGAAGAATTCAAAGTTCGAATCAATGCTTTGGTTGCGAAAGCTCAGAAGGTTCCTGAGGAGGGTTGGACAATGCAGGATGGGACCTTATGGCCTGGAAATAGTGTTCGAGATCATCCTGGAATGATTCAGGTCTGACCTTCTGACATTGTGACCCTTTTTTTTCCTTAAAATTTCATTCTTTCTGGCGTTTCCAGTTAAATTTCAGTCTCCTCCAAACTCTTAGGTCTTTTTGGGCCAAAGTGGTGGACATGACATGGATGGAAATGAGCTACCGCGCTTGGTTTATGTCTCTAGAGAGAAGAGGCCAGGGTTCAATCACCATAAAAAGGCTGGTGCTATGAATGCTCTGGTATGGAATACAGAGTTCTTTGATGATGTATTCATGCCAACTTGCATATGAACTTTCTCTTTTGAGTACAAAATAGGGTTTTTTATTCCTTCATCATGCCCCATAATGTCGGCGTCTTTCAGACCCAGAGTATGACATATTTAGATATAAAAACTCCCGTTTTTCTGCAACAGGTTAGAGTATCTGCTGTACTTACAAATGCGCCTTATTTGTTGAACTTGGATTGTGACCACTACTTCAACAACAGTAAGGCTATCAGAGAAGCAATGTGTTTCATGATGGATCCACTAGTTGGGAAGAGGGTGTGTTACGTACAATTTCCACAGAGGTTTGATGGTATTGATCGTCACGATCGGTATGCCAACCGAAACATCGTGTTCTTTGATGTAAGTATGTGCATTCTTATTGAATTCTGCTTCTTCACTACATGAGAGCTGACCCTAAGTGTTTTGTTATAGATAAACATGAAAGGGCTTGATGGGATTCAAGGGCCAATTTATGTTGGAACTGGGTGTGTGTTCCGGCGACAAGCATTCTATGGTTTTGATGCTCCCAAAGTGAAGAAACCACTTAGAAGAACTTGCAACTGCTTTCCGACTTGGTGCTGCTGCTTTGGGAGGACCAACAACAACAAGAAGAAGAATTCAAAAACCAAGCAAGGAAAGATGATGAAAACTCCAAAGATGGGAGAGAATAGCACGCCTGCATTAGCTTTGATGGGAATAGAGGAGGGAATTGAAGGTATGTTTGTATTTATGTTATATTTTTTTGTAACATGCATAAAATGTTCTTTTCTTGCTCCCACTGAATTGATTCAAGCGACATAAACAGGAAATGAGAGTAAAAAACCAGCAATTATGTCAGAACAGAAGTTGGAGAAGAAGTTTGGGCAATCACCAGTATTTGTTGCCTCTACTATATTGGAGAATGGAGGAACACTGAAAAATGCTTCTCCTGCATCACTCTTAAAGGAAGCTATCCATGTTATTAGTTGTGGATATGAGGACAAAACTGACTGGGGAAAAGAGGTAGGGATTAAAACCTGAGATTGCACAGAAAATGAGCTGCTTGGCTCAGATTGCCTCATGAAGTTTTTATTTTCCTCTTATGTATAGGTTGGATGGATCTACGGTTCCGTCACAGAAGATATCTTGACAGGATTTAAGATGCACTGTCATGGCTGGCGTTCCATCTATTGCATACCTCCTAGGCCTGCATTCAAAGGCTCCGCTCCCCTCAATCTATCCGATCGTCTCCACCAGGTCCTTAGGTGGGCTCTTGGTTCTGTAGAAATTTTCTTTAGCAGGCACTGCCCATTATGGTATGGTTATGGCGGTGGGCTAAAGTGGCTCGAACGATTTTCCTACATAAATGCAACTGTTTATCCTTTTACGTCGATTCCGCTATTGGCTTACTGCTCCTTGCCTGCTGTTTGCTTGCTCACTGGAAAATTCATCACTCCTGAGGTATGATATCAGCATCAGCTTTCAAAAATTCACATTTTTAATGAAATCTTACATTCAAACTGAACTTCTTTTGTCATGTTGGCAGCTGAGCAATGTAGCCAGCTTGTGGTTTATCTCCCTTTTCATTAGCATTTTTGCAACAAGTATCCTTGAGATGAGATGGAGTGGCATTGGTATTGATGACTGGTGGAGGAATGAGCAGTTTTGGGTCATTGGTGGTGTTTCTTCCCATCTATTTGCTGTGTTTCAGGGTCTTCTTAAAGTTCTGGCTGGTATAGACACAAACTTTACTGTGACATCAAAGGCAGGCGACGACGAAGAGTTTTCTGAACTCTATACTTTCAAGTGGACTACGTTACTCATCCCGCCGACGACATTGCTTGTCATAAACATGATTGGCGTTGTCGCTGGCGTTTCCAATGCCATAAACAATGGATATGAATCATGGGGGCCTCTTTTTGGCAGGCTTTTCTTTGCCTTTTGGGTGATTGTGCACTTATATCCTTTCCTTAAAGGTTTGGTAGGCAGGCAAAATAGGACGCCGACGATCATAATTGTGTGGTCCATTCTTCTTGCTTCGATCTTTTCGCTCTTGTGGGTTCGGATTGATCCGTTCCTGCCGAAATCAGATGGTCCAGTGCTGGAGGAGTGTGGGTTGGACTGCAACTGAGCACTGATATTGTTATTTCTGTAGATAGAAAACATGAGGGAGTGCTGCAATTTTTGTTATTTTATTGGTTTTACTGGGAAGTCTTGCTCTTTGCTCTGGTTAACTGGACCAGGAGAAGATTGGGCTCACCATGTGTAGTTTGTTCTTTGGATTATGGATGGATGCTGAGGAGTTTGATTCTTTATTTAGTTTTGGAGAGAGATGGGACAATTATGAGATATCAATGTGGCTCATGTGTACCTTTGTAGTTGATAATCTCAGCATTAATTCTTTGAAATAATGGCAAGCCTTGCAACTGCCTGCCACATATATAAATTCACTAGCTGTAGTCATGCATCAGCATACATCTGTTTTCCAAAGGGTCTTTTGGAGTAGCTTTTTTACTGCCTTGCTTTTCAGTCTTTCAGCACAACTCTATTTGAGTATTAGGCTTGGTTTGAAGGAGCTTTTGTTTGATAGAGTTTCGTTGTTCGGTGAAGTTCTTTCAAAAGCCCTGTTCGTGGAAAGGAGCCTACGTGCCATCTAAAATGGTAATCTTATTGCTGTTCTTGCGAAATAACTTTCGGAGACTCTTGTGTGAGAAAAAAATATTATATCAGAACTCCTGTTGCATTCAAAGTCTAATGGTGGGGTGCCACGTGTCAAGTTGACTCCACCCTTTTTAACACCGACTAATACCAGTGTATTACAATGGGGCCCATTTAACACGTGGCGCCCCACCATTGGACTCCGAACGCAAACTGTGTTAGGAGTCTTGATGTAATATTCTCTCCTTGCGCGACGGGATGACGCTTGATCATCTTCTCAAACGAAGCCTAATTTCTTGTTGCTTTTTAGAAAATTTTGTGGTAGAAAATTGATTTTAACCGCCAAATTTATTGAATTGAGGTAATTATGAGAAAATTTATGTTACATTTTTTGGAAAAAAAAATTGTTTTAAATATTTATTACAGTTTTTTTTAATTATTTCATATTTATAAAAAAATGTAGCTGTCTCAAAAATTCCTTGGGCATTAAGCAAAGATTGTTTTATAGGAATTTTTATTCGGTACGTGCACCGCATGAAGCCTTACATGCGGTACCGAATAAAAATTTGCCACGTGGAATGCGATTCCACGTGGCTTTACAGCTTAAAAATAAGTTTTTTCATGTATTCCGACCCGACCCGATCCCGCCCAAAACAAAAAAAAGCGCTTTTTTGTCATTTTCGATTCCCGCCAACAGAAGAAAGTGACATTTTGTCTGCTTTAGGGTATTGGTATCTGGTATATTCTCATTTTTTCGCTCATGTTCGCTGGAGCTGGTTCGATGGAAAAAAATTTCGACGAAGAAATGTTGGTGGAATCTCAAAATACTTCTGAGAATCATAACAATGAGACGAAATCTCAGAATATTTCCGAGAATAATGAGGTGGAGCAGAGTTTAGATGCGGCAGAAGGGCATCGACAGGTAGATTTTTTTAACGAAGGATGTTTGAATACAGTTCTAGGTTTTAAGGAGTTATTTTATTGCTAATGAAGTTTGCTCTATTTTTGGATGAGTTTTAACGCTAAGTTTCGGTTGGGTGGGATGTGGTGTTATTTAGGAAATATTAGTTGGGGTTTGATGTTATTTTGATAGTATCTGGCATCATAATGTAAAGAATCTGGAGGATTTGGTGTTATTTTGGTAGTATCACAGTGTTATTTTGGTAGTATCATAATGTAAAGCTAATGTCTTGAGGATTTGGTGTTATTTTGGTCGTACCACAGCGTTATTTTGGTGGTATCATAATGTAAAGAATCTCGAGGATTTG